GATTACCTCAGAATTTAAAATTTCTGCTATGTGAAATATACCATCAAGAAAATGAAAAGGCAAGGTGCTTGATGACTGGGAGAAAATATCTGCGACAGACTTCTGAGAAAGAACATACCTAGAATATATAAAGAACTGTTGTGACAATAATAAAAGAACCAATTTAAAAATGGGCAAAACATCTGGACTCTTCACAAAAGATGTACAAATGGTCCATAAACACATAAAACGGTGCTCACATTATTAGTGTTCAGAAGAATGAAAAATTAAATTACAGTGAGATATCACAGCATATCCACTAGAACGTGTTGATGGGGATGTGGAGTAACTGAACTCCCATCTACACATTGTTGGTGGGAATGTAAAACCATGCAACCACTTTACAGATCTATTTGGCAGTTTCTCCTAGAGTTAAGCATGTACTTTCTTTATAATCCAAGAGAAATTTTCCCAAGAGAAATGAAAACCTTTCATTTATAATGGCCAAACACTGGGAAGAACTCAAAAATCCACTAACAAGTAAATGAATAAACAAAATCTGATATAGCCACAATAAAGGAACATCACTCAGCAATGAAAGACTGAACTACACACAACAAAACTGATGAATTTCAAAAGCATTATGCTTAATGAAAGAAGCCTGATACAATAAGTACATACTATATGATTCAATGATATGAATCTAGAGAGAATAAGCATGCCTAACTTACAGTTACGGAAAACAGTTCCCTATATGCCTGGGGCTGGGAGTGTGATGAGACAAATAGGGAAAGCTCACAAAGAAACCTCTTTAAGTGACGAAACTGTCACATATCTTGACTGTGGTAAGGATTACCAAAAGTATATATTTGACAAAATGGTCAAATATAATGGGTGCACTGAATTGTATGTAAATTATAGCTCGGTAATGTTGATTAACATTTCCTGGACATTAGAAGATATAAACAACATTTCTCCTTTATAAAATAGGGATAATAATAGTACCTACTTTATATGTGCTGTGATGAGTAAATGGGTTAGGGTTAGCATTAATTAGGTCATGTGAAACATTTAGGACCTACCATATAACAAAAACTCAAAAAATGTTAATGAGATAAAATTTTCTTAAATAACTGCATTACAGAGTCACTATAAAGTATCATTCTTAAGTGTGGGGGGGGGCGGGGGCGGAACTTTACCCCCCAGGGGACACTGGGCAATGTCTGGAGACATTTTTGATTGTCATGACTAGAGGAGTGCTACTGGCATCTAGTGGATAGAGGCCAGGGATGCTGCTAAACATCCTACAATGCACAGAACAGTCTCCTCAACAAAGAATTATCTGACCCAAAATGACAGTACAGCAGAGACTGAGAAACCCTGGTGTAAACAAAGTGACACAACAATCCATAGAGGGAAAGATATAGCACACATAATCAACATAAAACTCAAATCCAAAAAGGCTATACCATCTACAAAGAAAGAAAAAAACAAAACAATAGGAAAATGAGCAAAGAACAAGGCCAGCAAATATGAAAAGATCCTCGCCGTACAGAGAAATGCAAAGTGAGTATGTGCAATAGCATTTTAAAACCAATATAGTGGCAAAAAATGAAAGATTCTGACAATACCAAAATGTTGATGACAATGCAGAAAAAGAGAATCTGAAAGTGAAAGGGTAAATCATTATAGCCATATACAAATACATACATAAATGTATGTATACATATATTCACGCATTAGGATGAATAGTGATTAATGATACTATTTACCTCCAGGGATAAAGGGAGTAGGATGGGGAAAAACTTCATTATATCTTAATTTACATAACTGTTCTGCTCTCTGAAAGCTGTAAGCTTTTAAATGATTGCTATTCACTAAACACCTATTACATATCAGGTAACATGCAAGATAGGTGCTTTATATATATTCATATATTATATTCCTCACAACAAATATATGTTGTAGATATTAGTAGTTCCTTTATAGATGAGTAAATTGTGTCTGAGAGATTAACTTACTCAAGGCGCATAACCAACAAGTGGCAGAGCCAGGATTCAGGCCAAGGGCTTTCTACTGCAAATCCCAATCTTGTTTCTCCCAGTTGTACTATATTATAAAATGCACTAATGTTTGACAGAATTAAAGCATTCCTGGGAATATTTCTAGTTTTCATAGAAATAGTTTCATTCAACATAATTTTCTGATAGAGAGAAGATAAATAAGATGGCAAATGCAGAGTAAGCAAGGCAAATGAAAGCTACAGACCTCTCTCCTGAGAAAAATGTACACACACATGAAATTATATATGTAATTTCAGTGGTTCACAAATTCCCTGTGTGGACCAACCAACCAAAAGGCCTTTGGATTTCATGTTAAGAATGTCTCTTTAGGAAAAAAGGGAGAGATTCAATTACAATATTTAAAGGATTGTTCAAATTTCTTCAAAGAGTTGTCCTTTATTGACTAGTACATAAAATAAGTGTTTCAAACATTGCTCGTGTTCAGAAATCTTTTTGGTAGGCCTCAGTGAAATCTACCAATATTTACTTTAATGAGCTCTTTGCTCTAGAACTGTATACAAGGGAAGAAATGAGACGGTAGTTAGTTATAAGAAGCTTGTGGAATTAAACTCAATTGGACATGTTGTGTGCAAAGGTAACCTGTGTCGAGGGTTAAAAGTTAGAACAGGGAACAAGAGACTTAAAGAGGTTGGATCTTTTCTACATTCAGAGACAAAGTACTAATAAGTTATAGCCCATCTTATGTCCATATTGGTAAAAATGCACAAGATTCAACATCTTTTAAAGCAAGAAGATACCACACAATCGAACTCTGTTAATTTTTTTCAAGTGTAATTGTCTTTTTCTTTACATGTCTCTCTTATTTTGGAGTGATGGTTCATGTCTTTCCTACTCTCTAGTCCTCTTCAATATTCCCACATTCTGCCATTTTTCTCTCGAGCAGTTGTAATGTACAATTCAGTTAGAGATATCGTGTTTTCTACCAACCTAGACAATTTTGAATTAGTATGTTTTTTTTCCCTCAATAAATACATCTAAACTGGTTACTTTCTTAATCTATCTTTGTGGTTTTCAATTGAATGTTTTAGTAAGAATCTTTAGATGAGAAAGGGAGACAATGACCATACTGCACACTAGTTCAGAGTTGTGCTCCATCCAGCACACTATCTCTTCATTTTATAAACATTTTAGTACTAAGAGCGGTAACTGTGCTATCCAGGCAATGGAATTAGTGAACATTTGTGGAAAGACAAAGTTACAGATATGCTCTACAACACCCTTATTTTTCTTAATATTTGATAAAGCATGCCAACCATAAATTTATCCGTTTTTAAAGCTATTTATATTTTTAGCTTGCATAACATTTGCAGAGAACTGTGATATAAAATGACTACTTATAAGTTTGGCAATTAATATTACCTTCTTGGATCTTAAATAACATTTCTGAACTAAGATACAGGGGTATAATATTCAAATATGTAGTTTCCCTATTCTTACGTCTAAGTATCTTCTGGATTTTGACCATAATGTCCTTTCCATAACTGAGAACAATTATGTCATAGGTTGTCTGTATGCCTCGACTTTTTATTTTTATGCAGAAAAAGTCAGTGTAAAGATGAGACTTTGAAGTTTTAAAAACCTGGATTTGAAAACTGATTCTGTTAAAAAACTAGCTGAATGATTTTTGCACAAGTCACTTAACTGGGCTTTTTGAACTGCCACCCCACGCCCCTTTCTAAAGCATGCTAAAATACCTTCCTCATACTTATGTTCTAAGGGAGAAATGAGATAAAGCATCTTTATTACCTAGTACAGTATTTGGCATATAACAGGTGCCCAAGTCAATAGAAGTTATTCCCAGTTTCTAAGCTCCCTTAAAGAGCATAGTGCTTCTTCACACACCACAGAAACTGAATGAATCCCAGGTACTACTTTAGGAGGAAGTTTCTAGCTTTTTGGTAAATATTTTACTATTACTTTTGAGGCAGCCCTAATTGCATAAGGTGTATTCCAGTATCAAATATATCATATAAACTTACATGTGTTTTAATGACATTTTAATTCTATCAATAACCTTTCAACAGCTTCCCATGGTTCTTATAATACAATTCAAATTCTTTACTATGGTCTAGTGTTGTTTAATCCCAGTTTATTGCCCTCCCTCCCCCCACTTAAGATGTTCTAGCCACACCTGCCCTTTAAGTGCTCCTCAAATACCCTCAGGGTCTGTTTTCCTCTAGGGAATGCCTCTCCCTATCTTCATTGGCTGTGCTATTTATAACATTAGACTCAAAACTGGCCTCCTGTAAGTCCTTCTCATGATTACTCTGCTTCCCCCATTACTCTACTTTATCTTATTCATAGCACTTAGCACTATGCCAAATTCTCTACTTTCCAAGCGAAGACTGGGACCGTGTCAAGTGTTTCCAGATGTTTCCTCAGTGCCTAGAACTGTGCCTGGCACAGTGTAAGCAAGTGAACCCTGGGCTACAAATCTTAAGGTTCACCTTTTGGCTTTCAGGCTTGACCCAGGGTATGGGTAGGAGGGCAGCGTGGGGCCTACACTGTGACTGCACTTCCCAGAACAGGTCTGTTTCCTGAGTCTTACTTATAGGAAACTGGGTCGGGAGTGCCGGACGCACCTCCTGTCTGATCACAGCAAGTGTGGGATTCTGGGTTCTCGGGCAGGGGTGAGTTTGGGCGTTGGGAGAACGCGTGTGGCCCTAGCAAGGTGAGTAATGGTCAGACGGCTGCACTCACGAGGCTTCTGGAATATGCACGTCAGCCCCGAGCCAGGTGAATCTCTTACCGCGGAATCTGATGGGCCCACTGAGGGAAACAGAACCGCGGCGTCGGCCCCCAGAACCCGGGAGAAGTCCTTAATGTGGGCTCTGAAAGTGAGGTGTCCGTCAAGAACGCGGGCCTCCTTTCAAATGCAGTGAGAGTGTAGTACTGGTCACAGAAAACGGCTTCCAAGGAACCGACTCTAACACTCACCAGAAAGCGTAGGCTGCACTTATGCCCCGAGGGAAATTGACTGTAGGGAGGAGCCTTTGGGAGGAGACCGGCAACCGCTCGCTAAGTTTGCGCAGCCGCAGTAGAAGCCGCACGCCCCACGGCCGACTGCGCAGCCGCAGTGGAGGCCTCGTACGCCCAGGGTAGGGCGCGGAACTGGGGCGGAGCTAGCCCCTCGCGCGCGCTGACGCGACGCGTCTCGGCGGAAGGGTGTGGACGCGCAGGCGCTGCGGTGGCTCCGTGGTCAGAGAGGCGGGGCCACGCCGGCGCAGTAAGTGGCGGTAGCGGCGGCGGCGGCGGCGGCGGTGGCAGCGGCGGCGGTGGCAACGGCGGCAGCTGTGAAGGTGTTCCGGGAAGATGGTGCTGATCAAGGAATTGTGAGTGGATCCGTGGGCGCGAACGCGCCCCCAGGACGGCGGGGCTGGGAAGTTCATTGATTGAGAAACGGTAGCATATTCCTGAAGAGTGAGCCTCGGGCCGGCCGCTCCCTGCGCGCGCCCCCTCCCCCCGGCCCGCGCCCCCAGCCCAGTCGAGGTCCCCTCCCCCCGCGCATCCCCAGACACTCCCCCCACCATGGTCGTTGCAGTAACACTGCTGCCCTCTCCCCCGAGGCAGAGGTGGCTGTGTCCCGGCAGGAGCGCGTGGCTCGGGAAGGCGCGGCCGAGAGTTTCCGCTGAGTCCCGCCTTCACCCCAACCCCCCACCCCCAGTCCCACGGGTGAGACCAAGGGTGAGGGACGTGGTGGATCTTACTGTGTTTGTGATTTGTCGTCTGGAGTGGAGCCTGCCTGTAACCCGCGGGAGATGGGCTCGTTGGGTGAAGGCAGCCCCGGTGTCTGAACTCGAGGTGGGACGTAGGCGTCCTGAAGTTTATGCAGGAGCCCCGGGAGTCTGGAAAAGCTGCCCTTCACTGTGCAGCTCAGTTGACTTGACCGCAGAACCCATCTCTCTGCTCTGAGCCTTAGTTTCCACATCTTTAAGGTGGGGTGACAGTCTGGGCTCCACCTCTTACGGAGTTGAGATGATGTGTTTACACGTGGTCTGTCAAATAGAAAGGTTTCCAGGTGCATTAGACCGGCGAAGTGATTTTGTTGAAAAGTTACGGTGTTTTCCACCCCGAAAACTGACTATCACAGGAAATCTGGTTGGCAGTGATTGTTCAGCTGTCACAGCTGGTTCAATTTCGTCATCATCCCTTGGGCAACTAGAGATTTCGAGTATGGCCCGTTCTTTCGTTTTTCAAATGCTGTTTTCATTTTAAATTCTTAAATAAAAATTTTGGCTTAATTTAGCTATTTACGGACACCTTATTTTAGTGTTAGTTCTCAAACTTCTTTTAAAAAAGAAGCGACAGGAGTCAGCTTACAATCCTCGAAAGATTCCCTGTCTCGCTGAGAATAAAAGCCAAAGCCTTTACAAGAGCCTGAGAGGTCTTGCACTATTTTCTTTTCGGCCCTGATCTCACTACCCTTCCCTGCCTATTCCAAACTCACACACTTCCTCACTGTTCTTCCCCTACTCCAGGAAAAACTCAGTTCAGTGCCTTTATGCTTGCTGTTCCTTTTGTCTGAATGCTTTTCCCTCATCTCATTAACGCCCTTCTTTCAGGTCTTAAATATCATCACCTTCTTAGGTAGTCCTTATCTGAAGACTTCATTGCAACCCCCACCTTTTGGTATCTGCCTTTCCTGCTTTATTGTTCTCCATAGCAATTATCACCATCTACCACGCAGTATAATTATTATTTTTTGTATTTTACTGTATGTATTCTACTACATGTAAACTCCGTGAATTTGTCTACTTTACTCACTTCCATATCTTCAGCTCTTAGAATAGTCCCTGGCACATAATAAGCATTCAGTAAGTAAATTAATGAAAAATGATAACTTTAGTCAGTGACAGGGATCCTGAGAAAAGACACATTTTCAGTAAAATCTGATTTATAGTATTGAACTTCGGATTTATGTAAAACTTTTTTCCAGTTTTTACAATGTATCATGTGAGTTATCTCATTTGTTACTCTTTGTATAAAGTAGGTAGGTGGCAGATATTAAGACAAATGGAGGATGTAAGACAGAAGGAAATTGACTTGGTGCAGGTCCCATAGGACCTGAGTTACAGAACTGATTTTAGATCACAGATCGTCATTTTTCATTCATTCTTCCCTCCTAAAATGTGAATTGTTTAGTAGAGTCTGTTGTCAGTTATGTGAGGCGTATCAAGGTAACTCATGGAAAGCAATTTTCATTGGGAATTTGCACACTGTGCTTTTTAGGAACCATTTTTATTACAAAAATTTGAGTGCACTGAGTTAACAAATGTCAAAATGTATCCAAAGTATAATATTTTCTCCTAAAGAGTTACAAATTACATTTCTTGATATTCACTCCTTAAGTATGTCTCTAGAATTTTTCTTACTCCTAGGCTTTTCGAAAGTAGACTTTTTATTTTCTGTTTGAGTATTTCCAATATCCAGCCCAGCTTCTAGTCTAACATTGTAAGTACTCAGTGTTTTTGAATGAAAAAAATGATCCTTCCTACTCACAAGTCAGCTTTCTAAAATTGTTTTTGGTCAAGAGCAATGAATAGATCATTCCTATGTGAAGATGTTGGTATACTATAAAATACTTTGGCTAATATTTGTTCTTTAAAAATACCATCTATTTTTGAAGTGAATTAAAAGGTTAGAAATGATTTTTCAGGGTGGGGTTTCCTTTCAAGTTGTTACTTAAGCAGTAGATGAAGTTGCCATTAGTATAAAGTCTTGGTTTTAAAAAACTAGTTGCTAGTTCCATTTAGAAAATTATTTTCATGAGGCTTTTTAGAGAAGTTTGAAAGTTTTCAAATACAGGCATACTTCAGAGATCTTGTAGATTTGGTTCCACACCAACGCAATAAAGTGAATGTCGCAGTAAAGCAAGTCACACAGATTTTTTTTTGTTTCCCAGTGCGTATAAAAGATATGTTTACACTGCACTGTAGTCTATTAAGTGTGCAATAGCATTAGGTCTTTAAAAATGTACATACCTTAGTTAAAAAATAATGCTAAAAAATGCTAACTATCATCTCAGCAGATTGGAAAAATGACATCAATAGATTTCTTGAACACAGGGCTGCCCAAAACCTTCATTTTATAAAAACTAAAATAAAATAAGAAAAAAAGAAAGAAAATACAATATCCGTGAATTGTAGTGAAACAAGGTATGCCTGTTCAGGTTTCTCCCACTATCCAAAAGTAGAGTGTTCCATGAAACCTTTCATTAGCTGAAATGGCATAAAGCAGAAGCTGTTAACATTAATTTACAGCTGACCCTTGGAACAACGCAGTGGGAGGTAGTTAGGAGCACCAACCCCACCTCCACAGTCAAAAATCTGAGTATCTTTTGATTCCCCAAAACTTAGTTATTCCTTGGTACCCACAGGGAGAGAATTGGCTCCAGGACCCCAACAGATACCGAAACCTGTGGATGCTCATGTCCTCTATAAAATCGTGTAGATCAATGCATATGGTTGATCGGCATCTTCAGACTCCCAACAGCAGACTGAAAATAGCACAGACATTTAATGGAAAAAAAATCTGTGTATAAGAGAACCTGCACCGTTCCAAGCCGTGTTCAAGCCATATTGTTCAAGGGTCAGCTCTATATGAAAAAAGTTTTGAGAATTCCCAGACCCAAAAAAATGACCTACAAAATCATACCAAATATGCTTGTGTCCAGTTTTACACTAAGTATAATGCCTTTGTGAGCTCTCTTAAGTTTTTCTGATATCTTAAGACACATCTTGCTAACAGATGCACAAAATAAATCGAGATAAAGCAGAGATGCCCACAGTTTAAAAGCTCTGGCAGCTTGATGCTGAGAACCTGAGTGTAGCTCTCAGGGAAGAAGCTTGGCAGGGCCACTCTTGCCGCTCGCAGGTGAGAGCTGCCTTTATGACATCTCCTGTGAAACTTGCTGAACATTATTTTCTCTCTCTCTCTCTCTCTCTCTTTTTTTTTTTTTTTTTTTTTTTTTTTTTTGTGAAAGCAAAAATCCTGTGGCGAACTTTGAAAATGCAGGGGATACTTGTACTGCTTTTAACAGAAAATAAAAACCTGTTTCTTCTCTCTTACTTTTTATTAAACAAATCTTGAAATTATTTGACTCATTCATTCAGAGTATTTTAATCAGTCGTTTTCATTTTGTGTAAAGGTTTCCCTAGAAGTGTTATTATATAAAAATAGGTATCTTCATGCTAATGAGCAGTTGCTAAAATTACTCAACAGAGATTCTTTGGTTTTATGAACCTTTAGGGAAGTCTCTTTCCTCTGTATTCCTTCCTTCCATTTCCTCTGAAGCCCATCATCTTGGTTCAGGCCTTTGTAAGCCCTTGCCCAGCCTCCTCAAAGATGACTTTCCCCCACACTCCTGCTTCTCAACATTTTTAAGCACCTAGAGATGACTTCTTCAGGTTAGCTGTAATTATGTCTCTTACTTTTTGGAACAACTTCCCAGGATTCCTTGTTACCTAATAAATTTAATAGATTTTTTTTACCGTTATATTGTTGGCTCTGAAAATATTCTCACAACCTATATCTTTTTTTCTCTATCTTTATCTAAATCTTTCAAAATATGCTCCCAAACTATATCTTACTCTTCCCCCTGACCACTGCACTCCCTCCACCCCAGTATATTTTCTCTTACTGAGGCAGTGAGCGAGTTATTGTGTACCTGAGGAGACAACTAAAATTTAGACTAGGTATGAAAGGACTTTGTATATCAACTTTATTCTTGATGAGAATAGAAATTAGTAACCATTGTGATTTCGAGAATGTTCGTTGTCTTTAGATGACCATTATTGGAAAGACAAAGAGTGATGAGTGATCCCCAGTAGTCAAGGAGGAGGGAATTACAGGAGACATATTTTATACATGTTGGAGATTAAGGTGATGTGAGTATTCAAGCACAGATGTTTGAGGAGAATAGGGAGAGAGAAGTAGGTAGAAAACGCAGCTGAATAGCAGTTGGAATGAGAAAAAAACTATTGGGAATTTTCTATAAAATGAAAATCAAGGTGACTGCCTTGAGGTTTTCTTCCCCCATTCCTTATAATAGAAAGAGTT